CATGAAAAGGGAAAACGTACTTTTAGAGGCACTGTAGACGCAGAACAGTCGTCTAGATCTAAACCAGTTTGCTACAGACATGAAACGGATCATCTCCTGAATCTGTACTTAAAGACAAACTAATTGACTTTTCCATTTAGAATCCCCTGTAGAGCTCCCGTCTCCCTGAAAAGCACACATGTAGGGCTTCACACACCTCGATCACAACTTGGCGACAACTACAGAGAAATGTACACAAGCACACGTCCTGTTCCTGAGCGAGGAACTGGACAGACACAGGAGCTGAGCCATAAACTAGAACTAGTCGTTATGAATCAGGCAGCTGTGAGTAGCTGGTTTCTGATGTCGTTCTAAACTTTGTGATGACACGTTGAGAGTATTTGTGTTTGTGTTTTAGTGCATGACGACGCCATGTTTATTTACTGGGACTCTTGTGTACGGCGTGACTTCCTGTGATCAGAGTGGACGTAATGTGCAGGATGTTTCATAACATAATAAACATATGATTCAGTTACGAGAGAGTGGGAACTTGTCTTATTTCTTCATTTGCTGGAGAAGAGTTATGAAAACGCTCCGACCTCTGTGGAGCTCATCATCACCGTCTTCACATTACTGAAAAACTCTGAATTAAATGAATCGAGCGAAGCGAGCGAGACGGATAAATTAAGCGGATAAAAGATTCAGAAAGTCTGTGAATTAATGATCAGCAATAATTCAGTAAATGCCGAGTGGATGTTTAAAATATGAAGGTTATATAAACTCATTAAAATCGACAAAACATACAAAGATGAAAAAAAAATCAAATTGTGAACTTTAATAAATGAAATATTTATTAGATTTTAATTGACAGATTCTGAAAAAAAAGGAATAAGAACTGCAAAAAGAAATATTAATATACAGACATTTGATTAAACCAAGCAAAACCTCCCTCCCTCCGTCCGACTGTGTGCAAATAGTCCTTCAAACAGGTGTTAGCTGATGCACGCTGAGGGGGCGGCGGCGCCATTACACGGCCCGTCGGCGCCGCGCCCCCGCTCTAATCAGGAATAAATGGTTCGCATTCAGAAGTTTCAACAGCAGGAAAAAAAAAAAAAACAACACACTGAAGGGCCCTTAATAAATCAGCGTGGCCCTGTAACCCCACACTAGTGTAATTACTGGAAGAGCAGAGTTCTGGTGTCAGCTCGGCTTTGCATACATGAATATAATAGAAGCTCGGAGTGGACCACGGGGTCACTCAGGTAACCAACGCAGAACCTTGTATTGTCAGCTTGAAATATTGCACATACATGGACATTTAAGAAATCCCTCCCCCCACACACACACACTTCTCAAATAATTCCTTTTGATAGCCAAGCTTCATGTAGATTTATGACCTCAGAACAGAGAGTGTAAGATCAAACCATGGATGCAGCTACTTGAGGGAAACTTTAACTTGTCGTGTATAAAGAGAATCAGTCAGATCTTCTGTCACTGAACCCTATTCAACCCGGTGTCTGGAAAAAAAAAAACACAACTACTGAACGCAAAACTACGGAGGAAACACCTGCAAAAACACTCGACTGTTTATAGTAGAAGCTGCTATTGTTAATAACTACAGGAACTGCAAGTCAATAAAACTTTACAAAATTGTTTTGGTAACAAATCCGTCTTAAAAAAATACATTCTCCTCGCCGCTCCGCTCCCTTCAGCTCCTCCGGGGACAGCGCCCCCTGCTCACATGACAGATCGCATCGCCGAGAATGATAATAATGGAGAGTTTTAGAAAAGCAAGACTTCCAAGTTGTCAATCATTGTAAATTACCTAAAGTGATTAGGAAACAGTATCTAAACAATGTGGCTGCTCTAGCCAAAATATCACCTCCTTTAAGTTTACCCTCTATTACTTGCACTTTCCTTTCTAATATTCTACAATCAAGAAGGGATCCGTGACTCTTTGTTTTAGGATATATTGAAGAAACAGAGGAAGCCAGAGGAGTGTCGCTCAGCGCCTGAGCCTCAGTTGTTCTTTTTGTCGGGAGAGTTTGGAAAAGGTGCGTACGGCGGGGGCCGCTCCTGCGAGGGAAGAAAGAAAAGGAAGAAAGTTGTCATACGTGCCACTGAGAGAGAACACAGAGCTGTAACTGACAGAAGCTTACCATGGGCATGTAGACATTGTGTGGATTGTTGGGGTTGTAGTAAGCGTTGCCTGCTGCTTCGGCCGCCTTGGAGTTACCTGAACACGACAGAGACAAGGAGCTAAAGACGGGCGGTAATGACTGCACAACACGTTCAGGAACAGATGCTGCAGCTCCCAACACTGAGCTGATGCAAGAAGCACAACGTTAGTCATGTGAAGCGCAGCTGACAGCTCCAGGATTCCTCAAGACAAAATCTACAGGCTGAGGATGCACAGGGACAGGAAGTCCGACTTACTCCGTTTCCAAAATACAGATACGTCAAACTGACACTTCAGCACAGTGGACCTCGCTCAACTTATGAGAGCTGTCGTTACGAAAACCCAGAAATTACCACTAAAAAAAGCAGTATGGGGTCGGACAGAAAAATGTTCATCCTTTGTGGTTTTGATGTGCAGCGAGCGAGACGTCAGCGCGCCTTTTTTGGTGGCATGCGACGAAGTGATTCATTTCGAGGGAGACGGATCAGATCTGACGGGTGCAATGACACAGACGCACAGAGAGGAAGAGCGGAGCGCAACGGAGACAAATATACCTGGAGGTGGTGGCGGTGCTGTCCAGTTCTGAGGGGGTGCAGCCCAGTTCTGGGGTGGCCCAGGGTACGGGGGAGGCGGGGCCATGTAGTCAAAACCAGATGGGTACATTCCTGGAACACAGATGGCCGACAGAAAAAAAAAGAGAGAGAGAGAGAAGCAGTTTCAAGGTTAAAGGAGGCGACAATCTGGACAATTATGTAGTTACACAGCAAAAAGAAACACAGAGAGAGAGAAACGACAGCATCATGTGTGCCTCCAGGGTGAAACTTCTTTACTTGTGTGCAAAGGTGACTTCTGACAAAACAACTGTGTGCACGCTGCAAACACAGGCAGGGAAACAGTCTGAAACTAAAAAGTCTGGACAGAGTATAAAGTGGCAACACACCCCAAATACAATCAGAGTTTTTTGAGGGAGATCAGACTGTGAGGGCATCTCCTGTGAACACTCCACTCAGGTCACCCCACAGTTGGATCCAGGTCAGGTTGTTGACTTAGATTCATGCTTGGGGCGATCGTCACGCTGAAAGGTGAAACTCCTCTCCAGCTTTCTAGCAGACACCTAAATATTTTGCGCCTACATGTGCGAGCGTAAGGAGCGCATCATGATTTCCTCCAGCCACAGTTTCAGCTAAAGAAAAGCAGCCTCAGAGCATGATGCTGCCACCGCCATGCCTCATCGTGGGTATGGTGCTCGTTTGGTTCCTGGTAGAGACGTTTCACCACTTAAAGACTCCTGAATAGAAACCTACAGGAGAAGTCAGACTTGCCACAGATGGAAGTTGTACGACGCAACCAGGAAACATGCAGCCATTCATGTTGTTGCACTGATGTATGCATGAAACCTCAGATGTAACCTGAGGTTCAAAAACTATATTGTGAGGCAAAATCTTCAAACTTAATGAGGTTTTTTTGTTTTGTTAAATCAGATGGGACTGCTTCTACAGACGCTGTTTTTCTGAGTCCTGGTGACCATATGAACTGCAGAACCTCTCTCCATTCACTGACAGAGATCTGCTCGTTAGCCTCAAATAACCTCCAGGGAACATTATCAAAACCTCTGCTCAGTGGCAAGCTTTGCTAACAGGGATTTAGCTCTCGGCCAAACATCCTGTTTAGAATTATGGCCACAAAGTTCGACCTCGGTCCCACCAGACCACAGCACATCTTTGCTGTATCATTTAGCCACCCTTTGATGCCTTTCTTGGCCTTGGTCTTGCTACTGTACCCCAGAGCCCAGACGTATAAAGAATACAGGAGATCGTTGTCACATACAGGGAGGCAACCAGCCAGAAAGTCCTGCAGCTCCTGTTGCCGTAGGCGTCTTGGCAGTTTCCCTGACTAGTGTTCTTCTTGTCTTCTCATCAATCCTCCAGTGGCGCCCTGTTCTTGGCAGCTTCGCAGCTGTACCATATTTTCTCAGCTTGTTGATAACTGTCTTCACTGTGCTCCATGGTTTATCTGAGGGCGTGGATATGCTTTTGCACCCCTCTCCTGATCGATACAACGTGAACCTTCATGCTTGGAAAGCTCTTTGCAAACCACGGCTGTTGCAGTGGGAGGCAAACAAGCAGCTGTGAGAATAATCCAACTTTATTTTGAGTCAGTCAAGGTCACTTTGATAGTAGGAAAGAATTCACTAACTGATCTGTAACATGAGATTTAATGTGACCGGTTGAGTATGAATGCAGCCACAATCTAAATTATGAATGGGTTTGTCTACTTATGCAACCAGGTTGTTGTTAAGTTTTTGATTTTTACTGTTTTTTGTGAAAGTAAAAGAGAAAAAAAAGAAAGAAAACCCTTGGACCTCGAGTTCAGACTGTTTCAGCAAATCCCACCAGCTCTGGGACCGATCTAAAAGCCCGACATTTGCTTCGCTCTGGGTCTTAAGTGCAACCTGGCATACTAATGACTGACCTGCGGCGGCTGTTGGATAGGGGTAGCCCATGTTGCCAGCAGCAGGGGGAGGCCCCTGGTAGAATCCGTTCTGCTGGGGAGGGGGTGGGTAGGGATAGCCGGGGGCAGCAGGTGGAGGTGGGCCGTAGCCGTTCATCATTCCGGGTGACGGGTAGCCGTAAGAGGCAGCTCCATTCTGGGCAGGAGCAGCACGAGAAGCTGGAAAACAGAGAGAAGGGACTTTATCTTTGGACTACTTACACCTCTTTATGTTTAGAAGTTTAATCTAGAGCAGGGGTGTCGACATCCGGTCCTCGAGGGCCGCAATCCTGCATGTTTTAGATGTGTCCTTCTTCCAACACACCTGATTCAAATGATCAGGATCGTTATCAGACTTCTGCAGAGCTTGATGATGAGCTGATCATTTGAATCAGGTGTGTTGGAAGAGGGAAACATCTAAAACATGCAGGATTGCGGCCCTCGAGGACCGCAGTTCGACACCCCTGATCTAGAGCGTTGTGTTTTTGCTTCTTTAGTGAAGGATTTAAACACTTTTATCACACCTGTGTTCAGTGGATACTTGTCACATATGGGACACAATACTCAAGCCTACATACCGTTGGTGGCCAGTTTGAAGAGGTGCTGTCCCACCTCGATGGCTCCACCGCTGGGGAATGACATCTTGAAGTGGGCCTGACCCTCCCAGCCACCTGTTTAAGAGTTGATCACAGTTAGAACAACACAGACGGCCTTTTGTTCTGCTGTGGATGCTAACGGTGGCAACAGATAAAAGCAGCTTCAGACACGGATAGACATACAGACATAAAATCAAGCTATACAACAGCGACTGAGAGCAAAAACAAAAAGCCACCCACCACCAGGCTCAGCCGACACTGTTCCTTTAATGTAGTTGGCTGCGAAGACGGGCTGCTCGATGCTGCAGCCCTTCATCAGGTAATAGGGGAACATGGCTGAGCCCATGCAGTCCTTGGTATTGCTGGACACAAACACCATCTAAGACAGCAAAGAGAACGTAAACGCTGAACTTTCCATTCAAGCAGACAGCAGCAGTAAACACATATTGAAGGTATTTTTTGTAATTTGCTGCTGACGGTACCCTGTATGGTGTGAGGTAAATCGTGCCCTTCTTGGTCCCCTTCAGGAGATCTGACTTGCCGGAGACGTCACTGAATGACAGCTCCACATTCTTACACTCCCTTAAAACACTGTGCAAAGAAGAATAAGATCAAAATGAGCTCTTACAGCCTCAGTCAGGGGTTTCATAGGCCCTGAGAGTCCAAGGCGATGAATGTTTTATGAATAGAAATCAAAAGTAAGAACGATGAAAAACAAATAGCCACTCTGATCATGTGTTTATTAAGCCCTCCAGAATGAGATGATGGCCTGTGTTTTGGATTCTCTGTGTGTCACTCTAGCAGCAGATCACTCTATTTTGAACCCATACATTTTGTGTGAGCATTCAAGAGAAACTGCACTGATTAAAGCGCTTGTCATGGTTGGACATAAGTTGTTTTTGGGAAAGAGGAAAAGGACAAAGGCAGCAAGGCACAGGCGAGCCTAAAGGAGGCGGCTGAAGAATTATCTCCAGTTGGATGAGCGGTTACTACACAAACACATGGACAGAGTTTTCATTTTTTGTAGGGTTATTTTTCTTTTTTTTTAAATGAGCAACAGAGACAGCATATTTACCCACATTATCACTGTCTATTTTTTTAAGCAATGTGTTTTATGAGACTTTTATTGTGACCTTTTTCTCTCCTTTCCTGCAATATTAATGCTCTTAGATTACTGAGGCTTTGGAGTTCCTCTTTCAATTAAATGTCCCTGATGTGTCGACACTTTTAAGGAATCCCAAGATGTCTTTTTGAGTTTATGTCTTATGGGGTCAATAGCTTTTGGTTGCTTGTACTATTTGTAATATTGTATTATGAAAATTGATCTTACATTTGATTATCCTGATTTTTTGTTTTAGTATTTCATATTTATTTCAGAGTTACAACTCTAAATGTCTTGATCGTGTCGTGCTTTGTGGATATATTTTAGCCTGTCTAGTCTTAAAGATGCTATAAACTTGATTTGACTTCAATCTATACCAATCTCACTCCAGCTGGTGGCTAAAACTGGTGACACTGGTCCAGCTAAATGGTTCTTGACCTTTTTTATTTTTGTCCCAAGGCACATCTTTTACATATAATCACAGCTATAAAGCCCCATAAATACGACTAACTCCAGAGCATACAGTCAGAGAACCTCTGGTTTCGCTATCCTGCACTCACTGTGATGTAATGGAAACACAGAAGGACATTGGAGTGACTTTACTCTGCCTGGAAGACTCAATCTATATTAATTTGACTCTAAAATACTTTGACAATAGTGCTATTATCAGGTCAAAATTTAAATATTTCTGAGTTGGGCGAAGCCTGCAGGGTGTCAAGATCCTACCAACACCTCTGCCTTCTGTTATAGACCTGTTCATATGGTAATAATATGAAATATAGACATGTGGAAATCGTATATAACTAGTCTTTGTCACAACTTGTAGACAACCCACTTAATGCATTAATGCTTAATGTAATACAGGAAGACATTTGGGTTTTAACAAGATGTCAACATTCAAAGCGACCACTACTTCCTGTTTTGTTGGTCGGCTAGCACTCCAAGTTAGTTTAAAACGAAATTAAACTAAGTTGATTTAATTTCTTAAAGATATTTCTCTTTTTTCGAAAGACTTTTCCAGTTACAGTTGACTAGTAAGGAGTGCCAGGCTAGCTTAAATACCTTTTTATCGCATTAGCGAAAGTGGGCTTCCCACTAGCCACAAAGATTATATACCCAACTATATTATGTAACTGTTAAACTGTGAGTACAACATTTGAATCACCCTGTAAGCTACATATCCTGGTAACGTAGAAAACCCAAACGTAAACAATGAGACGGTTTTGTCGGCTATGCGACCGTTAGCCAGGCTAGCTAGCAGGTGGCTAGCGGCTGGTTAGCACTGCGTTGACTACGCACTGGAAACTAGGATGTAAACAAGGAAAAGGGGAGCGGCGACAGACAGCTAGTCGGTAAAACGACCGCACAGGCGCTACACGACACACGTACCTTTCTCCGTTGTTTATCAAAACACCGCCGTTCTGCGAATGGTTGCGGTTTAAAGCCATGTTTGTGAGTCGTCGTTAGCTTCCCCTGCTGCCTGCAGTCACAGCTACTTCGCCTTGACGGGAAGTCCCGCGACGTCACCGGCGTTACGTCACTGCAACCCGTGACCTGAGGTGGGACGCTGGGGCTCGTGCAGCAGCAGCAGCACATAAACAAACTGCTGCGTCCTGCTGAAATCTGCCCCCCACACCCACACACACACACACACACACACACACACACACACACACACACACACACACAGCCATTGTGTGAAGTGTGTCTGATGTAAACAGCTGCCCAGGCAGTGACATCATGTTTACAGGTCTGTTCTGGCTTTTTAATGTTCTCCACCACATCACTGTAGGTTAAATAGACGGTTTTCTTTTGGTCATGAGCTCTTATCATTGCTTCAGTTGGCGATGCTGTCAGGTAGAAGTAAACAAGAGCTCATAAACAGCATAAGTGTTTTAATGTAACCTTTACTTGATTAAAAATCTTAAACTGGTGCAAAAGTTGTGCTTTTTGATCGCTGATCAGAATCAGAAACAGGTTTATTGCCAGGTGTAGTTCACACAATAGGAGGAATTTGTTCTGGTGGGTTGGTGCAACAAAACAACAATAAATATACAGTAAAATAAAGTAACTAAATTGATTACAATTCAAACTGCGTAGGATAATAAGACACATATGTCCACAGTGTCCCTGTTCTGTTCAGGACTCATGCCGAGTTTAGACCTTTACACTGTGTCAATCCAGCTGTTAGTTTCTGTCTTTTGGCTGCAGGTTGTGGGTCAGTCTTCATTATTTTTTTAAAATTCTACAGTCTTTAACCTGATTCGGGGCTTTCATGTTGGTATTAATTATAGACTTTTATACTATGTTAAATACATTTTCTGATAAGTTGACATATTTTGATTCCAAATGCATGACAAATATTCTTCTTTTTATATTTAAGAAAAAATATTCAAAAATGTAAAAAAAAAAAAAAAAAACAATACCTGTCACCTAAACCAAACGGCCTGGGGTCCAAAAGAGCCCAAAAGTCCTGAATAGGGTTAAGAGTCACTTTATTCTACAGTTGATTCTAAATCATTCACCCTTCAACCAACAAAAACACATATTCTTTATTTACAGATAAAATAGTTGCACCTTCTATACATGTTTTAATGACAAGACATTTTTCAGTTGCAGCGAAATCAGTGCAACATTTTCTAGTTGGGGGCTGATTGTTAAAATGCATATGTACGGGGAGAAAGGTCACCAAGAGGTGGTTCTGCAAACAAAAAAACAGCAGTCACTGGATGTAACTCTGGCTCTTTGGGTACCTTACGGAGCCCTGGGTCACCACGTGGCTCCACCGATACAGAACTTGTTGTTGTCCTGCTCTACATCTCTCAGTAAACATGACTAATCCTCATTGGATCACAGCCTCCTCATTCCTAATTCAAACTTTCACTCAGCTCATTCCTGATAAACAGCTCCCAACATTACCATCAAGTGAACATAATTCCTGGATCTTTCGTAGTAAACACAGATGAAACAGAGCAGCAAAAACGGAAACTCACGAGAAAAATCCAGACAGGATGAATAGAGGTTGTGAAGTCAGTGAATAAAGGTTTAAGACTGCTTATGTAATAACTGGGTACGAGCAGTGCCACGGGGAGAGGGCGAGGGGCTGATGCTGCCAAGGCCTTTGAGTTATGCAACGGTTCCATTTAATGGCTCCCTGAGGACACGGCGGGCCACGCATGCACGCTGCCTGATATTTATTATTTAAACATTGACCCTTCAATTAAATACCGGCCTATTGTGTCCTACTTTTTCAATCAGCTTTGCATTTCCCAGGGCGCACAGGTGGACGCTGCCGAGCAAGTCCGTGACTTTACTTTAACCTTTTCATTACATAAATGAGCGTGAACACATAGATAAGACATCATTTAAATGTATAGTTAATTGTTATTTGATCAATAGGTTTTTAGCTGGAAATGGCATCAACAAGTGACAAAAGATGGTCAGACATTGTGTTAGAGATGCTAGTTATGAATTTTGTCTATTTCATAGACAGACAGACGCTACATTTTCCTAAATTATTCCAACCGCTTGTATTGTTGTTCATTGTACTTGATTGTTAAAGGATTCTATCAGATCATTCTAATACACTATAGGTTAAGATCAGCTGATGCAGTAGTTCTGTGGTTAGTTTTAAGTCATGACTGAAACCAAAGAGCTGCCAACAAGGCAGGAAAAGGCCGTGTGCAAGTGTGTTTCCTCCCCGGTTAGATTGCCACCTTGCTGTGGTGGGGAGGTTTGTGTGCCCCAAGGAGCCCAAGAGTTCTGCTGGCTGGACCTCTGGAGGTCCTGGTGGGGTCCCCCAGGCCAGACAGGTTGACGGTTAGGGGCCAGACAAAGAACAATCCACCAATCTTCCAGGCTGGGGGTTTTGCACAACGACCCTGTCATGTAAAAACCTACATGTTACAGAAACAGCAACTGCTAGCCCTGTGACAGACTGGTTACCTGTCCAGGTGTCCCCTGCCTTCACCCTAAGTCAGATGGGATGGGTTCCAGCCACCCCCCCCCCCCAATCCTAGTGAGGATTAAGAGGTGTATAGATGATGGATGGACACTAATTGCTGCCCTACACACCACCTGGTGTAATGGGCATGAACTGAACTACCTGCAGGTGTTTTTTCTTGGATATGGCTGCAGGAAAACTTGTCTTTAGGCAACATTGGACCTTCCAACCACCACAAACACGCAGGCAAAGTGGTCAAGAAGTGGACAGAACACAGTATGAAGATGTTGGAGCAGAAAACCGGAGACCAGAGTGAAGGAAGGAAGCTTTCAAAGACAAAGTGCATCAAAAAAACAGAAGTCTGTCACTTTTTTCACTTGTTTAAATAATTTCCAGCCAGAAGAAACCTGCTGGTAACAATAAATAACCGCTATGAATCAAAAGTTATAAACGGGGACGAACAGTTCTGTCCTCTAGCTGTACATGAAGCGCAGCTCTGGTGTTGTTCAGCCGGAGGACGCAGCAGGCTCCGGACTAATTAGCGCTAATTAACAGGTGTCACGTGGCTCACCTCACAGATACCCGCCTATTTCTGGACTCAAAAGCCAAAGTGTACAAACTATTAGAAGATGAATTATCGTTCTGCAAAGCTTTTCTTGATTCCTGCCCTTTTGACCCTCGCGGCTCAGCTCATCTGCGTCTCCGGCGTCCAGAGGAAGAAGCCCCCGGAGCGGAGGCCGCAGCCCGCCTTGCCCACCGTCAGCTGCTCCGGCCGCGGAATCAAAGCCGTGTTCGGTCCGCTGGTCCGAGACACGATCCGCGTTCAAAGTAAGCTCGCTTTCGGTGCACGAGTCGCATGCACGAGTTGCTTGACTGTTGAGTAAATCGCGGTTTGTGTGCGTGCTTTGCCAGCCCTGACCGGGGCCGCGGTCCCGGTGCGTCAGGCTGAGGGCTCCTGCGGGGTGACGATGGGCCAAGAGAAGAACCAGAGCCTGTCGTTCGTCAGCAGATATGACAGCTGCTATGCTCGCGTTGAGGTAAAGTGTGTGAGTGATCCACAGGATGCACAATGAAAAAAACTTCAGGGTGGAAATGTTGATGTTCAAAATTATTCATACCCCTGCCAAATTTCTAATTACACTGATTTTTTATTTTTATTTTTTGGTAGGAGGTCTTTAAAGGAGACTTTAATGATAAATATGAACTTTTTTTTTTTTTTGCATATTTACTTCAAACACCACGTCCAGAAGATTCAGACTCTTCTCATTATTCCGTCAATAATCTGTATTTTCCACCACATTTTCCATCTCCGTGTCCTTCCATCACTCTGGGCTTCAGTTTTCCTCCTCAGGTTCTCGTTGGATTCAGGTCTGGACTCCCAACATTGTTTTCTGTGAACCATTTCTTCACCTCTCTGGCTGTATGTTGGTTACCTCTAATCCTGTCCACGCATTTTGTTGTATTTTTTCTGTAGACAGCTTAAAGCTTTCTCTCCACAATCCTAACCTTTTCTCATGATGATGTTTTTACTTTTACAAGGTCACCACCGTGTTTGACTGTAGTGATGGTTCGTCTCCTTTCTTACATCAAACAAAGCCATGTATCACCAAAGAGCTCCATTCTGATCTCATCCGACCACAGAAATGATGCTGAGCCTTCGTGTTGAGTCCTCCTTTGGTCCATGGAAACCAGACTTCTTGGTTCCAGAGTTGCTTCATCAGGATGATCCTTGGATTCTTCTTGACTATTCTTGCCAGTGCACGTTTTAGCCTCCTACCAGCCCTTTGGGGTTCTTCAGCGTGGCTCTGCTTGTACTTTTTGATCATACTTTGCACTGTTGCAGTTGGCACTTGAACTTGGACGTGGCTTTATGACTTTTCTGTTTCGTAAACAGCCACATGCCACAACTCTCTCAGTGATGGACCCTAATAGCTCACTAAGCTCGTTATTTTTAGCCATAGCTTGCAATCAACTGACCAGAGAGCTTCTGAATCAGCTGTTCTCATTTTTATCGCGTATCAGAGTGATATAGAACATGGTGGGAATTTACAAGACCGTTTGCGATGCTGTAATTTTCAGTTTCAAGGGGTGAGAAGCATTTTTAAGAAAATGTTTATGTTTTTTTAAAGGTAGATGTCGTTAAATTTATCATTAGCATCTTTAAGACAGCGTCTCACCATCTGTTGTTGCTTGTTTGTGTCATTTCCAGTCAGAGGAAACCTATCAGTCAAATAGATTCACTATAAATCAACATGTGTGATTATTTTGGGTTCGACTGCAGTTAAATTAGGACTCTGATCACAGTTGGACACTACATTAAAGCGTGCTGTGTGTGTGTGGATTTGCCTTGATTGTAAAAGAGGCTCATGCGTTGACACAAAGGGTCACAAATAGAGCATTAATATTATTTATATGGTGTAAAATGGTGGAAAGCTTTTGAAAATGTAAGTAAAATAGGTCAAACAATGGAAGCAGAAGCTTTGTGCCCTTTTAGATCAGTCTGTAGAAGTACATTCAGACGTGTAAAAGCGATACATGTGGTGTCTTGACATTGACACTGTGACACTTTCTGATCCTTAGGGCAGCAAAGTGGTCGTCCCCCTGCAGGTCCAGCTGACAGGAGAGGACCGGTGGATCAGGGTGAACATCAGCTGCTCCCTGATCAAGAGACGCAACGAGAAAATACATCCAACCTCCACATGTGAGCACAACACACTCGCTGACACACGTATGTCCTCCTGTATGTGAAATCCTGTGTTGTCAGTTTTGGAGTTCAGAATAACTTCTTTACACAGAAATGATGCCCTGGGTTGAGATCACATGTGCAGAAAGGGGCTGTGGTGTGACGTACATCCATGGTGGTGTGCCGGGTTTTAACACTGAAAACGTCTCTTCTTCAGCATTCCCTGGAAAGTGCAACATCGAAAGAGCGCTGCGAATAAACTGCGGACCCCGAAGCATTTCCAGCGACACCTGCAACAAACTGGGATGCTGCTACGACGCTCTCGATCTGACCTGCTTCTACAAACTCAATGGTAAGATGAGCGTTTGTCTAAAGCACGAGGGTGTCGTGTCAGTGATTTGTGGAGACGGTATTAAGACGCAAAATGCCCTCTTCAGCCTGCTTATGTAAGTATGAACAGGCTTAATTTTTGTGTGTCGCCGCTCGGCGTAGCCTGCTCTCTGGACGGACACTTTGTGTTCTCGGTGAAGGCCACAGACACGCACCCGCCCGTCGATCCCAGCAGCCTTGTAATCAAGCATCAGCCTCATTGCTTCCCCGTCGTCACGACCCCGGACACCGCCGTCTTCAAAATAGGAGTCACGGAGTGTGGTGCAAAGATGACGGTAAAAACCCAAAAGAACACATCTACTGTTCAGATCAAATGCTGCAGTTATACAAACAGCACATCAGCCTAAAAACCCACATCAATGTCCTCTCTGCTCGGCTTTCAGGCACATGGAGACATGGTGACCTATGAGGTGGAAGTGGGAGAGCTGCACAGTAGAAGAACAACCAAACATTCTCCGTTTAGGTATGTTTTTACATCTTCTGTCCACTACTATGAAGCTCCTAAAGAAGTGAGTGTATCTCCGCCTCTTAACGAATCTGGTCACTGATTGCGGTCAGGACCACCACAGTGAACGCATAGTCCTGATCATATGGAGCTGCATGAATGCAAAAAGGTGTTTGGGAGAGGATGTTTATAGACGGCACCGTGAATGTGTGTGGATACAGAACGCTGGCTGACAGGATGACTCCCAGTCTGCAGAAGCTTGGCACAGGAGGAACATTCCAGCACGATAAAGATCCAAAGCACCCTGCCAGAATCACACAAGAGTTGCTAAAGAAGAGGGAAAAAAGTGAACAAAAAAAGTAGAGCAACACAACCCCTCCAGCAAAGAGAAGCTGGAAAAAAAAAACCCTAATCTGGTAGAACATCTCTGCAGAAGGTTGCTGAGGAGAATTGAGTAGATTATAAAAAATAAAAGGCAGATATATGAAGTAAAAATCAGTTTATTGCATTGAGTTACTGTATTTTTTTAGTATTGTAAATCTAAGTTGTTAGTTTTTATGTGTACATCAGAGTAGTTCTACTGTTTTGAGTTATTTGACATTTTCGCTGTGGTAGCGTCCATCGTGCTGCTCTTTCAGTCTCCAGGTGGAGTGTGAATACGAGGCATCCGATCTAAAGCATGCAAAAGACCTGCGGTCCTTGTATGCGGTCACCAATCCACCACCTGTCGTCGCACAGGGAACCATCAAGGTGCAGATGAGAATAGCCACAGGTACTGTCGTGGAGAGTGGTGTCACTAAATGATATAATCACTCTGGTGTGTGGGGCTTTGCTTGTAAGTCTGATTTGCTCCTCTAGATGCATCTTTTACATCCTTTGTTGCTGAGAACCAGCTGCCGCTGACCCTGCCCCTGCGTAAGCCGGTAAATGTGGAGATTTCCATCATGCAGCCGTCCCCGGATCCGACGCTTTCGCTGCGTATACGAGACTGCTTCGCCTATCCGGTGTCCAGACACTCTGTGTGGACGCTTCTCTATGATGGGTAAGGCGGCGGTCATTACTGCAGTAACCACAACAATATGTCTAACTGTAATGCAGCAGCACAGTTTCCTCTTCCCAAACAGGTGTCCCAACCCTGTGGACAATATGAGAAGCTCCATCCAAGTGGACAAGCAGGGGAAGACCGACTTCCACTCCCAAGTTAGGAGGTTTGATGTCAAGACCTTTGCTTTCCTGGACCCCCGAACAGGCAATCCAAGTGTGGAGGAAGTAAGGTTATCACAGTCACATATTTCAGTCCTACAGGAGCATTTCTACAGTTATGGCTGTTTGTTATCTTTCCCTCAGATGTACTTCTACTGCTGGGTGGAAATCTGCACAAATGAAGTCGAATGTGCACAACGTTGCACCATCATCTGTGAGTACATCACAGTGTACAGTCATGACTCGATAATCTGACCCTTAACAATCCTAAACCTGCTATCTGACAGGTTTTTAGGAAAAACCAACAGAACCCATAAAAACAGCCTTAACATAGCGACAGCCTTGGATTCTGACTCCGACATGACGTTTAATGTCACCAATCAGGATGACGGCGTATTATCTGACTGAACAATCCCACAGATTGGCTACGTTCACACTGCAGGACTTGATGCTCAATGAGGATTTCTTTGTGACTTCCTTCACGTTTCCAGTTCAATGCGACTTGTATGTGATCTGCTGTGTGAACTTCATACGACCCAAAAGTGTCCCGCATGCGCAGAAGAGGACACGACGACGTCACACGCAGCGAGCGCGCTCAGTGTTTATGGAAGTAAACATGGATGGTAACGGTGGAGCGTATCTGCCACTCCCCCACCGCCACCGATGGAGGAAACAGAAGTGTGAGCGCTAACTAAACTAGCATCAGCAGCCAAGTACTGCCTGTGTGTTCTGGACACTTCCACCCCGTCAGAGCGCTGCCCCGGGGTGGAAGTGTCCAGAATGTGCACAATCACACCGGTCAGTTAGGCTGAAGTCCAGCAATGCGTAGTGTTCTAACAACACACTAGTTATTATAACAACTATGAACAATAATGAACAACTAATGAGCCTTCCAGCATCAAGCCCTCCTCGTGTCTCGACCTCCGTCTTGACAATCCGACATAAAACAAGGTTTTGCATTTAGTGTCGGATTATCGAGTCACGACTGTATTTAATTTTATTCCCTGTGCTGTGTGTGTTTTAAACAGTTTCATGTCGTCTCTCCTTCCTCAGCATCTGAGAGTGTGAGACAGAGAAGAGAAGCCATATCCGAGTCCAACAGGCTTCAGCTGGTGTCTTTAGGGCCGCTGGTGCTGGTTCAGAACAACACAGAACCGACGGACGATCCATGCATGAAGCACAAAACAAGTAAATCCTGCTGAGCGCAAATTACAGTTATCAAGTGAATGACGAACGGAAATACTTGAATCCAAATGTTTTTCTCTCCCCCAGTGTTTCGGGTGACGGTGTACGTTCTCTGTGGCGTCAGTGCTGCCCTGCTGCTGATGCTGTTCTTGGTGATATGCACGCGCATCAGAAGGTGTCAGAAGTCAGACACACAGAGAGCGTGTGATGCACAAGCTGACAGTGAACCATCTCAATAAATCACTATGTTCTGCATTCAAACAGTGTTTTGTACTGTTAATTCACTGAACCCTGCTGTTACCTTCAATGTTCAACATCTCTAGATCAGTCATTGGCATCATTTTCTCCGTTTTATTTAAAGAGATATTAACACATAAACTTGGATAACAATGTTTGTTATTATATTTTCTGGAGGTTTAAATTACTGGGGTCAAACTGAACCCATGGATAAAAGATGTAGGTAGATGTGAAGGTAACAGGAGGGATAAGGTCTGAGTATTGAGCTCATGTAATGAATCTTATAATTCTAACTAGTCTGACAAGTCTTAAATTGTCCTTTTTAGTGAATATGTTCTACTTGATAATGCACTTTTTGTCACTTTCTTCCACCACATGAACAAACTGTGCTGCTAATTTAATGATGACGTCATAGAAATAAGTAAATCAGAATATTTTATTAACACAAATGTTTTATAATGCAACAAAAACAAATGAAGTGAAATGAGCAAAGAAAAAAAAAGTTGTTTTAGTAGGGTTTGAACTTCCTCTGTGCCCTCAGCAGAGCTATTCTCTGTTTGTCCTCCTCAAACTTCTTCCTCAGTTCAGCAATATCTGAAAAAAAACAGAGCAAAAATATGCTTTAAGTTATCCTCAGTGTGTTTCCAGAGGTTTAGTAATCTTAAAGTATCAGTAACTTACGTTCTTTCTGTGTGTTTCTGTGCTGCCAGGTGTAGAAGTTCATGAGCTCCTTCCTCTTTTTCTTCTTCATCTCCTTCTTCAGAGTCTTCTGGTTGGCTGCCTCGCTGTGAGGACGGGCCTTGGTGCCCTTGTGCCCTCTAGTGACTTTCACCCAGCCCTCTTCCTCCTCCTGCTGCTGCTTCGCCTCCTTCTTCTGACGCTCGGCCTCCTGTGACAGACGACAAAAACAGGTTAGAGTCACGTGGACTCGACGGGGGGGAGGCGATGCTGGAGGAGAAGCTGCAGAGTTCTCACCTGTTCTTTACGCTTGTCGTAGTTTTCCATAAACGAGTCGACGATCTGCTGCAGCTTCTCCGGGTGAATGAAAGACTCTGTGTACTGATGGATCCATTCTGACAAAATACAAAATGTTTGAAAGTGATCAACGGCCTTTACTGAAATCAGATTAATTTATATTTAACCCATTTCATGCACACAATACACGACAGCTGACAAGTATTCATACTTAACTAAAACCACATCAATCATAATAATTATTACAAACCAGCAGGTCAGAATCTCCCAAAAGCATTCATTCATTCATTTTTATTACCCTGAAGTATTGCATCATAAATCCAACATGGTGGAAATGTGACCGTCATTTCTGAAATATCTGTTGAAACCTTTAATTCTACATAAAAGATACAGACGCATGATGTTCTCTGATTAACTGCAGGGAAGAAATGCCTTGATCAAAGTTTATTCTGTCTGGTTTCTGGTAGTGTTTTGCTCATCGAGGCCTCGTGGGGCAATATGGTGAATAACTGAATCATTGTGCACACTAGACAACAGTAGTAATCTGGGTAGGTTTCAGTTTTCACTCGTGGTTTCCAATTAAAATGTAAAGAATGTTTTTTGAAAGGATTAAAGTAGAGCAAAGAAAGCAAAACAATCACAATATAAACTAAAATCAGATTAAAGTATCGATTAACAGCAGGACGAGTTCATCACTCACTCTGTACTCCGGTTTTAACTGGTCGCTGCTCCGTGCAGACCACCAGAGGTACGTCGTGTGGGTGGGATTTAACTGCTGTTAAACTGGAGGCCTTTTTAAACACGATGTAACCAACATGGAAACCCTGGAAGAGACGGACGGAGACACAAGAAGTAAAACAAAAACCTGACGTACAACAGAAGTGAGCGCCCTCATATTCTGTGCTGTCTTTTTGTTTTGTTTACCCCCCCCTCTGTTGAACAGTCATGCTCTGTAACACCTGAATTTCCCTCTGGGGATGAATAAAGTCAGCCTAAATCTAAGTCTAGTGTAAAGGAGTAAATAAAGACCACAGCAGCAGAGCAGGTCCACCTTTTTTCCAGGTAGTCTGAAGAACTCGGACAGTTTGGGTCCAGATTCCTGAGAGGATCCCGGGTGATCTCTCAGCTCCACTGAGTCAACCCTGCCGAACCGAGAGAATAACTCTTTGACAACCTCCTGAAACACAAACAGCAAAGACTATCAGTCCACAACAGAACCGTTCACAGCATCCAGAGCTATAGTTTAGCTGCCTGACCCACAGTAACGCACCTCTGAGCAGTACGGAGGGATGTTCAGCACAAACAAAGTCCGGTCCAGAGGTCTGTGAGAACTCGTCTCTGCTCGTACTTTGTGCTCTTTCACATAAAGGCTGTGTCGTGCGGTGCTGTCGGAACTGAACTGTAATGGCAGCACTGTGGAGAGGAACAGAAAAAAACAACACATCGGTATCTGCAGTCACCGAGCGAACCTGCCCCCAAAACACACAAAAAAACGAGCCAAGCGACAAAAGAGCGGAATAAACCACGAAGCTAGCGAAAGATGTAAATAAGATGTAGTTAATTTTATTCATAAATACCCGCAAAACCTCCTGGAATGATACACGCCGGGCTCTTGGCATGTTTCTTCTTGGACGGCGCCATTTTGGTTTGAACTTTAAACCCGGAAGTACAACGCGAGGGCACAGGCGAGGGGCGGAAGTAGATTTTTATTTTATGTTATTATTGTTTTTTTTTGTTTGTTTGTTTTTTAACCATTGGGTTTCTTCCGGCTGAAAATTACACAAACAAGTGACGATGAATTTTAGGTATTTCTGTGTTGTTTTATGTATTTTACATAATTATCCACGACCTTTAAAACCGTTATAATTTTTATTTATTTTTTTAATGCCACCTCTATATATATTTCCAAATTATTTCTACCATGCTCTAGAAAATATTAACACACTATAAATTGTGAACAGTTACCAGTCAGTTGCAGATCAGTTAGTGAAGGTTGGCAGAAGGCTATAAAGTCATAATCAAGTGTTTCCAAATGTCGGAGGTCACAGAGCAAAGCATCAAAGAAAAGGAGTTCTGCGCTGTGAAAAATCTCAAAGGTTGTGCTGCATTGACAAGAATGATGGAGGTCGATAAGAAATTAAGGAGCATCACCAAGACAATCCTGATGAATCTGAGCAGTTGTGGTACCAACATCCTGATTTGTTGCCCCAGCCGACACTGAACAAAGCTGGTCTCAACCAGCGCAGGAAATTGAGTATTTTGGGCAACATTGCTTTTATTAGGAGAAAGAAAAGAGGCGTTCAACATGATCCCCACCGTCAAACATGGAGATTAATGGCTTGGGGTGTTTTTGTAAGTTGATGGGCTGAACGGCATAACGAGGAAAAGAGGACGGCAGGAAGACTGTGGATGAAAACAGCCGCCGGTCCGCAGAAAAACTTAAATAAAAATTCACTATAAATCGCATACGTATAGGCATATGTGTGTGTGTGTGTGTCGAGGGGTAAATTAGCAGCCCTAGTTGGAAATAAGTAATTTACAAAATATGATGTCACACAGAAACAAACGAGAAATTTGCTTGTTTACGTCCAGAGTTTTTGGAAAGCTTAGACCATCATCATCATCATCATATGAGCAGCAAAGATGAGTCTCAGACAGAGTGTACAAAGCTAAATATTTAATGGCGACATTTCACAGAGAGAGCTGACCACTTGTTCCCTCTCGACGGACATACCAAGAGAGCAACAGAAAGTAATTTACAGTCCTTCGACATGACTTGAGGGTGATGGATTCTAAAAAGAATTAAACATGTACTGCTCCAAAACTAGACAACCAGAGTAAAACCAGCCACAGACGGAGCGCGCTAAGAGTCCGGATGCCACGAGGATGATTATTAAACAGAAACAAACCAACGTAAAGGGACAACTTGAGAACTGGTTTACTGAAGTTATGGTGTTATAGTTTCTGTCCGTCTCTGACTTTCAGGTGTTTTCAGTTATTTCGGTTAGTAAGACATCTTCTTAGGTTGAATTCAGAGCAAGACGTGGTGCTCGAGACGACTCTTTATCCTAATCAGACATCAGATCTTCTGTATATTAGTTGTTCTGATCTTTTTGCTCTATGATCAGTTTTTTTGTTCCTGTGGTCTGTACACACCAAGGCAACCCAAAAAAGAGCTACTAACAATCAAACTGAACACACCTGTGTGGATATACAGCCTTAAACATTACGTATCCCTCAATCATAACAATAACAATAATAATGACGCTCAATTGTCATTCTTTAAATCTTATTTTCCGTCCCATTCTCCCTTTGTTGGGAGGCGGGGTAA